GGAAGCCAGGAAACTGTAAAATCAGGAGAAACTAAATGTCATTTCCAGTTCAGTCCTGACCACAGCATTACCCTCATGAATCCAAAGACACATGACACACAGGCTCTAGCTACAGTGGTCCACAGCTCCAGCAAGTCTGCATATAGAGAAGAAATCCCAAGTCACAGAGCTGTGGGTCACCCTGGCTTGAAGGAAGGCCCCTCCTGGCAAAGCACCCAGCACTCTTGCCCTGTCTGTGGAGAAGGGTTTTGGAAAAAGAACCACTTGGTGAAGCACCAGAGGAGCCATTCCAAGGATGCATCATGTAGGGCCTGGAAGAAGTTCAACCAACAAGCTGATGCGCAGGAGCAGTGGGATATCTCCAGGACACAGAGGCACTTCCGATGTCCTGAGTGTGGGAAGAGCTTCCATTTGAAGCAGTACTTGCTGAGACATATGGCTGTCCATACAAAGAAGAGCCCATTCCAGTGCCCTGAATGCAAAATGTGCTTCTGCCAGGAACAGACCCTTCTCTGCCACCATCTCGGGCACAAGGGGGAGACGCCTTCCCCGTACCACAGATGCAACAAGAGCGGCTTCTCCACGGACAGTGCACAGGCTCCCCAGTGCCAGCACAGAGGGGAGAGGCCAGCCTCCTGGACAAGTGGCATTGGTGTGCACTCAGGACAAGAGCCAGGACTCGGCCTGGACTGTGAGGAGCACTGCCCGTGGGGGGATGCAGAAGCTCTGCAGTGGGGCCACAGCCACAGTGGGGAGAGGCCCTTCCCCTGCCTGGAATGTGGCAGGCGCTTCCTCTCAAGGTCCAAGCTGGCCAGCCACTTCCGAGTGCACGCGGGAGAAAAGCCCTTCCAGTGTTCGGAGTGCAACAAGCGCTTCCGTCTGAGCGGACTGCTAAGGGTCCACCAGCGTGTGCACCGTAGGGAGGGACCATTCTCCTGCAAGAAGTGCGGCAAGGGCTTCACCAAGCGGTGCAAGCTCACTGAGCACGCCCGAGTCCACAGCGGCGAGAAGCCTTTCTGGTGTGCAGAGTGCAGCAGGGCCTTCCGCCAGAGGGGCCAGCTGCTGAGGCACCAGCGGCTGCACACAGATGAGAAGCCCTTCCAGTGCCCGGAGTGCGAACTGAGCTTCCGCCTGCAGAGCACGCTGAGAGCCCACCAGCTGCGGCACGGCGGGGAGCGGCCCTTCGCCTGCAGTGAGTGTGGCCGCGGCTTCACGCACCAGTGCAAGCTCCGCGAGCACCTGAGAGTGCACAGCGGAGAGAGGCCCTTCCAGTGCCCCGAGTGCAGCAAGAGCTTCCGCCTGAAGGGCATCCTGAAGGCGCACCAGCGCACCCACAGCAAGGAGCGGCCCTTCTCGTGCGCCGAGTGCGGCAAGGGCTTCACCCGGCAGTCCAAGCTCACCGAGCACTTCCGGGTGCACAGCGGCGAGCGGCCCTTCCAGTGCCCAGAGTGCGACAGGAGCTTCCGCCTGAAGGGGCAGCTGCTTAGCCACCAGCGCCTGCACACGGGAGAGAGACCCTTCCAGTGCCCCGAGTGCGACAAGTGCTATCGCGTGAAGGCTGACCTCAAGGCGCACCGGCTGCTGCACAGCGGGGAGATGCCATTCTCCTGTGAGTGCGGCAAGGGCTTCGCCAAGCAGTCGAAGCTCGTGGAACACATCAGGACGCACACCGGGGAGAAGCCTTTCCAGTGTCCCAAATGTGACAAGAGTTTCCGCCTGAAGGCACAGCTGCTCAGCCACCAAGGCCTGCACACCGGGGAGAGACCCTTCCACTGCCCTGAGTGTGATAAGAACTTTCGGGAAAGGGGACACATGCTCCGGCATCAGCGCATCCACAGGCCCGAGAGGCCCTTTGCCTGTGGCGACTGTGGGAAGGGCTTCATTTATAGGTCCAAGCTGGCGGAGCACATCAGGGTGCACACAAAATCCTGCCGCGCTCCCAGTGAGCCCGACATTAAGAAAAGGCTTAGCCAACTGTTTGCCATGATAGAGGCTGACTGGAGTTGAGGCAGGGGACCCGGGAGCGGTAAGCAGAGCTGGTGTTGCCCCGATCCTCAGCAACGCAGTAAGCACACCAGTAGACAGATTTTAGCAACAGGGGTCCTAGTTTGAGCAAGAATGTAATAAAAATTAGGAATATAGGAGACCATAAAAGATTTTCTCTTCCAAAACATCAATACGCTGGCGATGTATCAGTGGTAGCACTTGCCTAACACACGTGAGGCCCTGGGTCCAATCCCTGGGACCTCAAGCAAAGAAAAAAAGGAAACTATCAATTATATTTTCTATCCATTGAGAAAAAGAGGTATTTCTTCTTGCCTTCTTAGGTGGTACTTTTTGCCCAAATGCTAAGCTAGCTCCATAAAATCCCAGCTTGAATAAGATCTAAGGAAATCCCTCCAGTACATCCTCTGAAAGGATGGGGTATCTATTAAATGCCATTTCTACTTTTTATTTTTTTCAGAATATGATTCTGTGGGTTAAGTCCAGTGAATTCTGTTCCTGGCTTGATATGCCCTTGGATTTGATTTTGGCTTATTTATTTTGAAACTGATAGCCATAAGATGAATTCTCTGAATCTCTCCTCTGTTTATGTGAATGCTGAAGGGCTCATAGTGATTATACATAGTTCCTCCTAAGGAAATGCTGATGGTTTCAGCAAAATGTGGCTAATCTGAGAAGAAACAAAAAACTACAGGTGCTGAGAGGTTGAGGCAGGAGGTAGATCCTTGGGACTTCCAGAAGAGAGACGCTACTTGAAGGTGAGTGAGTGAGTGAACCTCTCAAGAGTGAACATGTGAGCAGTTGATTAATGGCTAATTTATGGCAAAGTAATGGAGCTAAACAGGTGAACCAGGATGCATTATAGGCAACAAGAGTTTAGGGAATTTCCAAGCAAATGTTGGCAGTAATACAAATAAGTCCAGGAAACAGGTGAGGGCTACCCCGTTTGCCATGTTAGATGAAAGTTGTGTACATACTTAGGGTCAGAGTCATACTCTATACAAAGAATTCCTAATTTTCAGAGGGCTGACCTGAAATTCTGAGGGATGATAGAAAATTAGATTTATCAGTAGACTGTAGTCTAAAACAATGTTTCACAAATGATTTTTCTCTGGAACACTAGCTTTAAAGATATTTTGCAGAGAAGAATTGCATGGTCAATTATACAAAGAGCCTAATTAAATTGACTGTTGCTACCTTCTAAATATGAATGAATACACAAAGATTATCAAACTCATTTATTTGTTTATTTTTATGCTGGGGATTGAACCCAGCTCCTCTACCAATGAGACACATTCCATTCCCAGTCCTGAGGCAGGGGGTGGGGTGGGAGGGGTAAAGTCTCACTAAGTTTCTGAGGCTGGCTTCAAATTTACAATCCTGCCTCAGTCTCCCATGTCACTAGGATTATAGGCATGCACTACAATGCCCAGCAGATTATCCAACATTTGAAGAAATAAATTTTACCTGAAAAAGAAAGACCAAGATAAAAGGGTAAAAAATGTCCTAGACAAATCATTTACTTCAGGAACAAAAGCTAATTAACTTTTATTTATTTATATTTTTAATTTATTTTTTGGTGGTACTGGGAATTGAACCCAGGGCCTAGCATATACTAGGCAAACACTCTAGCACTGAGCTACACCCCA